TTTTGAAGTTGTGTTAAAAATTAATTTTTAAAAGTTGAAATTGTGTTTGGACATGCATTCGTGAACAAATGTGTCCACTATTGGAACTCACAGATCTCAACCAGTTGTCTCGTACCAGCCTCTTCCAAGATATCAGGGGCAAATGTGCGGCCCCATAGCACCTTTTGACTTCTTAACCTCTCTTTCCCAGCACTCCTTGGATCACCCATTCTAGCCTTCTTTGAGGAACCAGGTTCCTCATCCGTATCAGCTCTTCTCTTAGCAGACTTGCAAACATTCTTTCCCTTTTCATCAGACTTCACAGACTTTCCACCCAATTCTTCCATCACCCTGGCAGCAGACTCTTCTACCAACTTATCACCAGATTCTTTCACCACATTTTCACTAGCAACAACATCATCAGACTTGTTCAGACTTTCAGCATACACAAAAGATCCCCTTTTAGGCTTGGGGAGACCATGCTTCTGTGAGAGCTTTCTAGTCAAGAAACTAGGTTCCTCTTCTATTTCATCATCCACATTCACAACTAGCATTGTCTTCTCGCTCATAACTTTCCCATCTTTCACTAATTTTCTTTTCCTTGACTTAGCATGGATGTTCTTAAGCGTAGACTCAAGAGCCTCCTTCCTTTGCAACTTTGTAGTAGGTCTCTTAGGAGTGGACTCTTGAGCAACCATTGGTCTATTCCTAGTCAAGATAGCAATCGGCATATCATCAGAATCATCTTCACTAACACCTTTTTCTTCTCTGGACACAGATCTTTCCTCAGACATCACCACACACAAAGGCTCGACATCAAAATGAGGAGAGGGAGCAGGGTCAACACTAAACTAGGGCTCTTGAGAGGGCTCCTGAGTTAGATCCTCTTGGGAGGAATCAGGTCCCTCATTTGGTACTCCAGTAGAATTGTCATGTGTCGATTATTCAACAGGTACAAGATTTCTATCCTCTTTCACAGTCTTAGACTCTTCTCCCCGAGTCCCAAAACCATCATAACCTCCTTCTATAACAACTCCTTCATGAGCTATGGACATCATGTTCTCTATTGCCTCATTTTCTTGTACATCCATTGAAAACGCAGTAGAGAAAGGAGTGTTACCTGTGAACATAAGATCAGGAGCAGTCTTTGTTGAGTCAAACTTCTTGGAACTATCAGTTAGATCTACCTTTGACCCCTTTTTCATAGGCGAGCTTAAAACTGTGTGATTTTCTTCTTTGTCAGCAGTACTTTGTTCATCCCCTTTTTCCGGCGAAATAGGAGAAGGGCTCTAGGCTACAAATCTTTTGGGAGTGGAGATTTTGCGACTCCTATGAGAACCAGAACTCGAGTGGGTAGGAGAGGAGACAGAATGTGGGGGTGACTTTGTCCTAGCGTTTTGGTTTGCAGTGGTGTGGGGTGAGAAGTCTAATATGGGTATGTAAACAGGTGAGGACTCAATGGGGATGTCACTTGGAACACTCGAGGTTGTTTGATTTTCAGCCATGGTGAGAAGAAAAGAAGGGATTTGGCAGTTTGAAGAGAGGCATAAGAATGGGGTTTTGAAGTTTGATGGGATGAGTAGTGACAGTGATAGATGAATTTACGATAGATAAGGGACCAGTTAAGAAAGGGCGGCAGTTTTGGGAGTCAGGTCGATAATTATCGGGTGAGACGTTTTGGTTCACAAGACGCAGGGAAAAGAAACTGACACACTGATGATGTGGCACTTGTTTTAACCTCTCAAAATTGTGCATGAGAGAACAGAGAAGCTACTAACAGAGAAACCAGGTTCCCTGACTAATCTTGCATCTAGAAGCTTTGCCCTTTTTACCAGCGCGTACTACATCAACTGCTATTTGCTCAGTAATCATCATGTGTGTCTACCTGTAACGGTATAAAGATGAGTTAGACTTTGCCAGAAAACACTTTTTAGCTAATTTACCTGAACATATCTTTCATAGTCAATCACCAAGGGACCAGGTTCTCAGTTGGGATTTATCAATCCCAGTGCTAGACGATTTCTTTCAAAATGTTCTCTAATCAAGGCCTTGGTAAATATGTCTGCAATCTGATCTTCTGTGCTGCAGAATTTAATGCAAATGAGCCCCTTTTCAACATTGTGTCTGAGGAAGTGATGACGCACATCAATGTGCTTGGTTCTCTTATGTTGGACTGGATTTTTGGCCATATTGAATGCACTTGTATTGTCGCATAGGAGAGGCACACAATCTGAGAACACTCCAAAGTCTTCCAGCTGCTGCTTGATCCACAACGATTGAGCATAGCAAGAAGCAGCTGCTACATATTCCGCTTCAGTAGTTGAGAGTCCCACTGAATTTTGCTTCCTTGTACCCCACGAGATTAGGCAAGAACCCAGGAAATGTGCCATTCGAGACGTGCTTTTCCTGTCCACCAGATATCCTGCATAATCAGCGTCAACATACCCAATAAGATCAAAGATGTCACTGTTGATACCCGATTTTTCCCTCAGAAATATATATATATATATATATATATATATATA